TATTTGGTTATATTTCCTGTTCTGTTTTCAGTCTACCTAGACTGGGATTTGTATTCAGAGGTAAAGGAAAGAGTTGCACATTTCTCTGAGATCACTGTTGATTTGTGTAAAATACTAACCTGACTTCATAGGAAAGGAATGAAATGGGTGAGGGGCATGCTCATTGGTGAGTAAAAGAGGTAGAGGCAGGATTTTAAGCTGGTGTGGATTCTTTCAGCCTTGGGAAAATGCAGCTGGGAGGCTCTCTGTACACTGGCAATCTGTTCCTGACATGGGTGAACTGAAGAACCTGTAGTTTGTGTGGTAGCTCCTCTTGAAAGCAATGATCTGATTCACCATATGATTTCCATTCTTTATGGACTATAAAAAAGACACTTCACCATTTTTTGAAAGGAATATGAGCAGGAATGTTGGTAGCTTATGCATTATTTAGAACCTGCCATCTTGCCTTGGTCTCACAAAGGAAAATGACAGCATTGTCATGATGGTTTCAATGTATGTGATGGGAATATAGATGTTGGATTTTGGAGCTTCTGTGAATTGCTGAGGATATTAAACCCTCAATTTTTTCCCATCCATTATTGCAGATAAATATCTGGTACCATATTAAAAATTTATATTGCATGTACATTTGAGAAATATAGTATACTGTTAACAAAATTATTAACTCCAGCTCATATTTTATCCAAAGTAATACATATGAAAGATTACGGGACATCACATGGGCACAGATGATAGCTAGATTTGGCTCACTCTTATTTCCACTAGTGTCACATAGAACAATTTTGTTCATTTTGAGACATTTTCAGTGAGATACTTGGAAATTTGGATAAGACTATTACATCAAGGCACATGGATAAAATGGCTTGGCAGCAGCACCATCTTGTATTTACATAGTTCCTCTTTTCTTTTTGGCCACTTGTGAGTCTCTTTTATTTCAGTTGCTTTAGATTCTTGTAGTCTTTCTCCTTTTTCTTTAATAACACATCTTTGGTTATACCTCTGCCAATTCACAGATCTTCATTGACTCCTATTTGCACCCTAAATAAATTACAAACTCCTCAGGGTAATAATTAGGGTCATCCTGTGTAACCACCCTCCAGAACAAAAAGTAGAATAGAAATAGCACCCAGAAGTCATCCTTGTTGTTGCTGTTCTCATGCTGTCCTATTATCCTTCCCAAGAATAATATCTGACTCAAAGTCTTCTTTTGTTCATCGTTATGCTCATGAGATTCATCCATGTTGTTGGTTATAGTGGTAGTTCATGGCTGTGTAGCATTATTTGCACACCTCCATCAGCAAACTTTATGTGTATAAGGCTCTTCCTAGATGTGGCTTGGAGAGTGATGAAGTTCAGTAAAGCTTAAGCTAGTCATGCAGACACGGAAGTTCAATATGGCCCTGCTGGGACCCTCAGTTTCTGTCTAGACTTCCTCAGGAGCCAGAAACAGTGCACAGGATAGCATGAGTGAGCACTTTAAAATTGCTCTTGCTTAGAGCTGAGCTTCTCAAACTTCTTTCTAAATTTGTTATTATTGTAGTAAAATGCACATAATAGAAAATTCACCATTTTAACTATTTTGAAATGTATGATTTGGTGACATTATGTACATACACAATTTTGTGCAACCATCACTGGCTCCAAAATATTTTCATCACCGTCAAAGGAAACTCTATACCCATTAGGTAGTCACTTCTCATTTCCTCTGGAAAACATCAGTCTGCTTTTTGTCTATCTCTGTAATATACCTATTCTGGATAATGAAATCTTATATAAATGGAATCATGTACGTAATCTTTTGTGCTTGGATGCTTTCATTTAGCATAATGTTTCAAGACTCATCCATGTTGTATGTATCAGTACTTCATTCCTTTTTCTAGCTAAATAATATTCCATTGTATGGATATACTATATTTTGTTTATTTATTTATCCACCTATCAGTGAACATTTTCCCCCCCCCCCCCCCCCTTTTTTTTTTGGCTATTGTGAACAGTGCTGCTGTGAACATGAGTATACAAATATTTGTTTGAATATTTATTTTTTATTTCTTTGGCATGTATACCCAGGAATGGAATTGTTGTGCCATGGAGTAACTATGTTTAACTTTTTGCAGAACTGCCAGATTATTTTCACATTTACAGTAGCAGTATATGAGGGTTCCTGTTTCTCTGCAGCCTTCCAAACATTTGTTATTATCTGTTAATTGTTACTGTAAGTGTTATTACTTTTGTTGTTGTTAATCCTCACCCAAGGATATTTTTCCATTGATTTTTTTTTTTAGAGAGGGGGGGAGGGGGAGAGACAGAGAGAAAGAAACATCATGTGAAAGAGACACCTCACATCAACTTGTTGCCTCTGGCATGCGCCCTGACCAGGAATGGGGATTGAGCCTGCAACCAGAATCGAACCTGGGACCTTTCAGTCTGAAGGCTGATACTAGCCACTGAGCCAAACCGGCTAGGGTGTTTTGATTATAACCATTCTAGTGGGTGTGGAGTGGCATCTCATTGTGGTTTAGATTGTATTTCCTTAATGAATAAAGATATTAAGCATCTTTTAATATGCTTACTGACCATATATCTTCTTTGGAGAAATGTCTATTCAGATCTTTTGCCCTATTTTAAAATTGGGTTGTATTTTTCTTGTTGAGTTGTAAGACTTTCTTATACATTCTGGACACTAGACCCTTAACAGGTATATGATTTCCAAATATATTCTCTTAATTCTCTGTACATTATCTTTTTACTCTCTTGTTATTATCCTTTGATGAACAAATGTCTTAAACTTTGGTGAAGTTTAATTTCTCTATTTTTTCTTTGATTACTTTTGTTTTTAGTATCTTGTGATATTTAAGAAACTATTGCCAAATTCAAGGTTATGAAGACTTACCCCTATATTTTCTTCTAAGAGTTGTATAGTTTTGACCCTACAATTAGGTCTTGGACCTGCTTTGAGTTAATTTAATTGTTGTATATGGTGTTAGGAAGGGGTGTGATTATATTATCTTGCATGTGACTATACAGTTGTCCCAGCACCATTTAAAATATTTTTTTGTTGATTGGTTTAGAGAGAGAGAGAGAGATGTCATTCTGTTGCTCCATGCATTTATTGTTTCATTGGTTGCTTCTTGTATATACTCTGAGCAAAGATCGAACCTGAAACCTTGGTGCATTGAGACAGCGCCCTAACCAACTGAACTACCTGGCAAGGGCCTGCCATCACCATTTGTTGAAGAGACTTTTCTTTTCCCATGGAATGGTCTTAGAATCCTTGTTCAAAATTAATTGATCTTAGATATATGGGTTTATTTCTGGAATCTTCTTTTCCATATATCTATATGTCTATATATCTTTCCATTTCTCTTATGCCAGTACCACACTGTTTTGATTTTTGTATCTTTGTCATAAGTTTTGAGTCTTCTTTCTTTTTTTTCCAGGTCAATCTAAAGGTTTCTCTCTTTTATTGTGAGTCAGTCTAAAATTCTGTTGACCTTTTCAAAGAACCAACTTTGCTTTTATTCATTCTATTGTTTTCTTTCTCTTTCATTTTTTTCTGCTCTAATGTTTATTATTTCTTCCCTTATGCTAGTTTTGGGTTTACTTTATTCTTTTTTTTTCTTCTTCTAGTTCCTTAAAGTTAAAATTAAATTTGATTTTTATAGAGGCTTTCAGGAGCTTCCTGACCAGCCAGAGGTGGAAGCGTAGTTTCTGGGTTTTTCCTGAGTATGCACCCAGCCCTGAGCATGTGTGTGTCCTAGATTCCCTCACTGTATGTGGGAACTTTTCAAAGCCATCATTTCCCTATGTATCCCCCATTTCCAGCCTCTTCTTTCTTAGGCTTTTTAGTCTGTCACCTGCTTGTCCTGTCAGTTATCCTTTGTTTCAAGCTGCTGCAACTAGTATATTTGTCTAAATGCTTTTGATAATGGTCAGACTCCAGCCCTGAGAAAGTTCTGACCTAGGCAAAACAAAGGCAAGCATCTGAGCCCATCCCCTCCGGGAGCCTCTACATAGGTCAAAACAAACAGTAACATTTCTTTGAGAACAAAGTCCACATTATCTCCTCTTGGACAGTCCACACCAGGAACATGGGCTATTGTACTTAAGGCCATTGCCCAGCAGGAGATTGGGAGGTGGGAGGTGATGGGTGAGTTAAAATACCATAAAGTTCTCATCAAATATAGCAACTTGTTTTTTTATTAAGCACTAGAGGCCCGGTGCATGAATTCGTGCATGGGTACGGTCCCGAGGACTAGCCTGTGATCAGGGCCATCTTCACCGGCAACCAACCCCGCCCCCTTGCCGCCACCCACTCCAGTTCCCCATTCACCATCGGGCAATTGGAGCCTGAAGGCCAGGGGGAAGGATCGAGAGGTCGGCCGTTCCCTCCTGCTCGCCAGCCCTACCCCCGCCGTGGGTCACCCTCTGTGTGTGGGGCAGGGTGGGGACCTTGGCCTGGTGCTGCCCGCACCCTCCACCACCCACCCCCAGGTCCCTGTTCACCACTGTGCGATGATAGCCTGCCGGCCGGAGAAAGGGATTAAGAGGTGGTCAGTGCACCTCATAGTGACTGGTTGAGCAGTCTTCTGCCATTATGGTCACTGGGCTTTTATTATATAGGATCCTCCTAATTGTTGTAAGATTTCAGAGTTTCTGAAAAATTGATTCTGACAGTTTTTGGCAGCTTAATCGTTGCTTTAATAGAGTTTTGAAGACTCCTAATCCATTGTTTTCAGTGATGTTACCTTGCAGGTTGCCATTTTATCTATACACTGGAATTCATCATTAAAGATTAATGAATAAAATATAAAGTCACATTATTGTTTTAGAAGTAGGTGTTGAAATTTTAAGTTACTGATAACAATATAATGTGACTTGCTTACACAGAAAGAATTGAACACATCAATTGAAAAAAGCACTAATTCCATAGCGTGTTGTGGTTTTTTTTTTTAATTTACAAAATATTTTTCCTATCTAATTTACTTTTTCACTGTTAGCTTGTGTTTTCTGTCGAAAAAATGATGATTGTCCTAATAAATATGGAGAAAAGAAAATTAATGAGAAATGGAATCTCACTGTACATTACTATTGTTTGGTGAGTATAATTTATATGTAAATCTTAGAAATTTGATGTTCTTCTAAAGAAGAGGATTAGATCCTGATGATTGGTTTCTGAGAATTAGATAACTTATTTAACTATTCTGGCTCTCATTTTGCCTATATGTAAAAATAAGATTTTCATTAAGACCTGCCATCATTACATATTTATTTTTGCCTAACCTTTTGACTAAAGGTAATAAATATTTGTAGAAAAGGAAATAAGTTAATTTATGATGGGTCACTCAAAAGAAAAAGAAAAGTAATTTCATACTGAAAATTAGTCTCATCTATTTCCCCATTCCCTCCACCAATTTCTTGATTCACTGAATCTGTGTCTTAAATTCTTATTTTCTGGGTACTGCTTTAGGGCTGTTCACAGCATGGAATCTGGCTTCTTCCAGAGCAAGTGAAGAAAAAGAAAGAGGGGATAGATACATACACTATCATGGGATCATGTGACCTAGTCTTCACAGTCACATATCACTGTCACTTTTGCTTTGTGCTCTTGCTTAGAAGCAAATCATTAAGTGTTAACTCGCACTCAAGGGGAAAGGAATTAAACTCCACTTCTTAAAGGAAAGAGTATCAACTAATTTGTGGACATATTTTTATACCTACCACAGTATCCATGTTAAAACTCTTTAGATGCTTCCTTAAGAAAACATATAACATATTCCTTAGTGGTTCTGTAAGACTAGTTTTGTGTCTCAATTACCCTATGGGTTAAACAAACTTCTAGACTGGCCTAAGAACCTAATTCCTTTGTACCAAGAGTTAAGAAAAAATGAAATTGGCGTGCCAAAATTTTTTGTAAATTGGAATTTATTATATTTTGCATAACAAGAAAACTTTTTCATTTTTCTAAGAGTTTATTTTACTTTTTATATAGAATTAAGAGGGCTATTTTATTAGTCTGCCCCCCCCCCCATAACTAATTCCTAAGTAATGTATATCACTTGGTTTTCTTTAGGAAATATTATACTGATTAAGCCTCTTTAAGCACTTTGATATTGTCAATACTTTGAAGTATTTTTGAAATATTTAAATATATTTAAGTTGATCACATTAAATTTTTTATATTCTCTTATTTTATTAGCAAGTATAATAATTCGAAGAGATACTGGCCCTAGACTCAACATTTATAAGATTCTATTTCACTGTGAACAGAAAAGAGTAGTAATGTTACCAATGGCAATGGAATGTTAAAGTTAAAAGTGACTTATTGATAATCTAGTCCAGTGTTTTTATTTTTGTGTTTAAGGTCATTCATATTAAATTATTTGCTGAGGGATCTGGAAAGTTGGATACAGAGCCTGATTTGCAAGCCATTCACAGTCCCATGCTTTTTCTTGATTCATGCTCCTTTAACATGTTTAAACTAAAGTTAAAAATCATATTTTAAAACATTTAAACATTTATGTTAATTACAATTCAATAGGTTTCCCTGTAAATATGCCTTATATGGTTTAGAATCCAGCTAGATTTACAGTTAGCCTGAAATATCACTAATAATCTGTATTATCCCCCTCGTATTTACTGTTATTACATTTACACCTTTCAGTATTTACCACTTTTTCCCCATAAAGCTTAATTATAGGTATTTTTTGTTTTCCTTCCTTCCTTTCTTCCTTTGTCTGTTATTTCCTGAAATATTTTAGAGACTAATTTCATTATATGAACTATTAATATACAGTGCCTTTCAAATAAAAAATGTGAGTAGCCTCTTACTTTGATCATAAAAAATAACTATTATAGGTAAGAGGTACTTGAAATTTTAGTTGTTTTATTTATTAAAATATTATAGATAAATAATTTTTATTCCAAACTAGTTTTTTAGAGTTTATTTTCTAATTGAGAACATTTTCATAGTTGATGTCAAGTGGAATTTGGCAAAGAGGTAAAGAAGAAGAAGGAGTTTATGGTTTCCTAATAGAAGACATAAGGAAAGAAGTGAATAGAGCTTCTAAACTGGTAAGTAAATTATTTTACTCATTTTAGTAAATACTGTAAATATTGTCAATACTAGGGAAGTCTTCTTTATCAGTTTCTCCACTAGAAATTTGTAAGACTTCTATTTTATGTTCCAGTGCTTACTTTGTCAAATATGGTGAATTTAGAACATTTGTATTTTTGCAAGTGAAAGGGAACCTAACCACCCCTGGATAATATATGTGACAATATTGATTTTCACTTCCTTATCTTATTCCAACCAACCCATCAATTCACCCACATTTATCATCAGAATTATGAACACAGTAATACTCCGCTGTTTTTCAAACTTCAATACTGAGTCATCCAGACATTCACTTTTCATTCTTATACCTCAGTTGTTGGGTTGAAATGATGGGTTGAGGTAAAATTACACAAGTATGAAGACCAGTAATTTGTGATCTCCACACCTCTGTGGCCCTTCTGTGACTTTGTGTGCTTTGTTCAGTGCCTTCTCCTGTTCTCCAAGATAAGTATTCTAAACTTTTTACTTCTCACTCATTTCATTATAATACTAGAGGCCCGGTGCATGGATTCATGCACCGGTGGGGTCCCTTGGCCTGCACCCTCTCAGAATCCGGGACCCCTCAGGGGATGGGTCCCAGGTTCGATTCCGGTCAAGGGCATGTACCTGGGTTGCGGGCACATCCCCAGTAGGAGATGTGCAGGAGGCGGCTGATCGATGTTTCTCTCCGATTGATGTTTCTAACTCTCTATCTCTCTCCCTTCCTCTCTGTAAAAAATCAATAAAAATATATATTAAAAAAAAAAGTAAGGTAACTTACTCAATTCCTACCCTAATACCATATATTTCAAGTGAATATAGGGATTCATTTATTAATTTCTTACTGTGAAAAAAAAAAATAATGTATGTTTGTCTCCCTTCCTGTCCATGTCCATATCCCAGTTACACCCCTGGGCAAGTCTGGAATTTAAGGAGTATTTCTTAATTACGTGTTTTCATTTAAGATTTGAATGAGACTTTCGTGTATAGGCATTATGTTTATAAGTAAGTAGCTTTATTCAAGACATTTTATAAGGGCAGCATGTAGAGACCTTTATTTTAGTTGAGGCAAAGAAATGGAGGCAATTTTTTTTAAAAATATATATTTTATTGATTTTTTACAGAGAGGAAGGGCTTTGGTTACTCTCTTCCCACCCTCTACCCTCCCCCTCTTCCCACTGAGATGCATCAGTCTGTTCCATGTTTCCATGCTAGTTCTTAGAGTTTCTAGCCCCTGGTGGTCAGTGTGCATCATAGCTACTGGTCGAATGGTTGAACGGTCGCTTAGGCTTTTATATATATAGATGAGAATCTAATCTGTGATAGCTACTAGATGATGTGCAAGGAAAGGACTGTGGGTTTCCAAGTGGTCTGAGTAGGAATAATGAAGGTGAGAGAATGAGAAGGTTAAATATGAACATGCAGTAATGGCCTACAACCTGCAACAGACAATTAAAATAATGTATGTTTGTCCCCCTTCCTGTCCATGTCCATATCCCAGTTACACCTCTGGGCAAGTCTGGAATTTAAGAAGTATTTCTTAATTATGTGTTTTCATTTGAGATTTGAATGAGACTTTCGGGTATAGGCATTATGTTTATAAGCAAGCAGCTTTATTCAAGACATTTTATAAGGGAAGCATGTAGAGACCTTTATTTTAGTTGAGGCAAAGAAATGGAGGCAACTATTTTTTTTTTAATATGCCCTTGACCGGAATCGAACCTGGGACCCTTTAGTCCGCAGGCTGACGCTCTATCCACTGAGCCAAACCAGTTAGGGCGAGGCAACTATTTTTTAACATGTTGAGGTTGCAAAGGCTTGATGGTAAAATAGAGGTTCCAGAGCATAAGGAAAAAGGTTGGGAGAATGGGCATCAGTAGGGTATCTAAGAGTCACATGTGAGTATTAGTATCAAAATTCCTCAACTTCCTGATAGTGAATATGTGGTGAGAGGTGGCCTCTAAAGGTCTCCTTACGGTTTGGAAATACCTGTTTTCTTAAAACATCTGAATTCTCTCTTGAGTATACTGTATTGTAAACCTTTAAGAATATCTTGATCCTGAAGAAGTATTTCCATTTGTGACCTTAAATTAGAATTCTCTATATCATTTTACTGAGAGAGCATCAGGTTGGCAAGGTATCCTATCGAATAAAGAGGGGATATGCTAATTGACTCTCGCCTATTTAATAAAGAGGGGATATGCTAATTGACTCTCATGCCATCACAAAGATGACGGCGCCCACAGCCAATAAGGAGGGAATATGCTAATTGACTGTGCTGCCCTCAGATGGCGGCACCCATAGCCAATAAGGAGGGAATATGCTAATTGGCTGCCATGCCCTCAAAGATGGCAGTGCCCACAGCCACAAGATGGCTGGCAGGGGAGGACAGTTGTGGGCGATCAGGCCAGCAGGGGAGGGCAGTTGGGGGTGACCAGGTCTGCAGGGGAGGGAAGTTGGGCGGGACCGGGCCGGCAGGGGAGGGCAGTTGGGGGAGATTGGGTTGGTAGGGGAGCAGTTAGGGGGTGATCAAGCTGGCAGGCAGAAGGGGTTAGGGGAAATCAGGCAGGCAGGCAAGCGGTTGGGAGCCAGCAGTCCCGGATTGTGAGGGATGTCCAAATGCTGGTTTAGGCCTGATCCTATGGCAGTCAGATATCCCCGAGGGGTCCCAGATTGGAGAGGGTGCAGGCTGGGCTGAGGGACACACACACACACACACACACACACACTCACACACACACAGTGCATGAGCCGATAAAGGCCCACCTGTCCAGTTTCCCTCGTGACCGCAGGAGCACACCAGGGAGGGCGGCCCCACAGTCTCCAGCAAAGGAAAGCTGGTTCTGACAACAGATGACAGGCTACGCAAAACTTCTGTGTTTCTTTCCGGCTAACAAAATCCAAACTCCTACTTAAATTAACCCAGTTGCCTTCAAGTTCTCTCTCTCTCTCTCTCTCTCTCTCTCACACACACACACACACACACACACACACAGTGTATGAATTTCGTGCACCGGGTCTCTAGTTCTCTTATGACCTGGTAGTGATTGAGCGATCAGCATTAACACTGTTTAATCTCTTCATCAGTGACCATTATAATGGTCATTTCAAGGATTTCAAGATGTTTTAGGTACTGCTCTATATTTTAGTAATGATTGTTTCATCTAATAGTCTTTGTTTGTATACCACTGTTATATTTCAGTTAGTAGCAATGCTATTGTGTTTGTTTCCTAGAGCTGTCATAATAAATTACTATAACCTGGGTCACTTAAAATGGAAATGTCTCACAATTCTGGAGACCAGAAGTTCCAAATCAATCTGTCAGAATTGATTCCTTCTGGAAGCTCTGAGTGGGAATCCATTCCTTGCTTCTCTCTGAGCTTTTGATGGCTGCTGACAAGCTTTGCATTTCTTAGTTTGTGGCAGCATAACCTCAGTCTCTGCTTCCATCTTCATATGGTCTTACCCTCTGTGTGTCTGTGTCTTAAATCTCCCCCTCCAAAGACATCAGTTATTTGACTTAGGAACCCCTCTAAATCCAGAATAATCTCATCTTTAAATCCTTAACTTACTTCTACAAAGACCATATTTCCAAATAAGGTCACATTCATTCAGGTACCAGGAATTAAGACTTAAGTATATCTTTTTAGGGGTCACTATTTAACCTATTATGATTATCTAATACTTTTTCATATGGTTAGGATAGAATGATCCTAGCCATTTCTTTTTACAGATTGGTTTTTAGTATTGTGAAACTATTTTCCTTGGTGAATATTTCCTAATTATGTGTTTTCATTTGAAATTTGAATGAGACTTTCCTGTATAGCTATTATGTTTATAAACCCTTATTTTTTTTAGCAAATAGTATATTTTTATATCACTCTTTAGATTTATCAGTAATAGTCCAGTTTTCTTTCATGGAGCCATATTTACTTCTAGTGTAAATTGAAGGCATATAAATTTGGAATCCAAAAAATAAATATTGCTCCCCTGGATGCTCCTGAAAGTACTGGTTCTTGAATCCAGCTGTAAACATGAAATTTTTATAAATTTTGATATTAGGTATCATGAGTGTTTTATTTCTTTTAGTCCTTGTGTTCTTGACCAATTTAATGATTTTTTCCTATGTAAAAAAACTGCAGTTTAGATAATACAAGGAAGGAAAAGAAACTTTTTTTTCTCATTCATATGTTAGGTTACAGATGTTTACTATATCAGAAATTATTGTAGGAGTGAATCTTTAGTGTCTTTAGGTTGTTTCTGGGTAGAACAATTTTTCAGGAAATTTCTTTAATATACTATCACCACAGCTATTTGCTATATGATTAAATTAATTTTCAGGCTCCTCAAAAGGAATATTTATTTATTCCTCAGTTATAGTATAGTGCTCAATTTTTCTATGTTATGCCCTTATTCTTTTTTGTTTTTTTCTAGAAATGCTGTGTTTGCAAGAAAAGTGGTGCTTCAATTGGATGTGTTGCACCTCGATGTAAACGAAGTTATCATTTCCCATGTGGACTTCAGAGAGAATGTATTTTCCAGTTCACTGGCAATTTTGCGTGAGTTAACTGTTGAACATGAAAGATGATGGTCAAAGAAAAGTCAGTAATGGATATGGATATTCCAATTATATAATTACTTTGTTAAATTTTTTTTCAAAGCTGCCCTGAATTTATACAGTGTGTGTATATATATGTGTGTGTATATATATATATATATATATATAGAGAGAGAGAGAGAGAGAGACAGAGAGAGAGAGAGACAGAGAGAGAGAGAGA